CCAGGCGGGTCTCGAACCCACGGGCTCAGGCAATCCACTCACCTCAGCCTCCCAAGGCGCAGGATTACAGGCTGAGCCACCGAGCCCAGCTTCATTCTTTTTTTATGGTTGAACTATTTCACTGTATGTACAGTATATGCCACAATCTATCCGTTCATCTGTTGATGCCATGTGGGTTGTTCCCACCTTTTGGCTATGGTGAATAATGCTGCTGTGAGCATTGGTGTACAAGTATCTGGTCGTTACTTTGATTATGAATTGTAGGTCCTAGAGTAATTCTACATTTAATTTGAGGAGACACAAAACTGTCTTCTGCATGGCTGCACCATTTTACGTTCCTAACACCAGGTTCCAGTTCACAAGGGTTCTAGTTTTTTCATGTCCTCCTTGCCAACCTTTTTCTCCCTCCCCCACCTTATTTTTTGAGTTGGGGTCTCACTGCTTCTCAGGCTAGTGCGGTGGCATGCTCATGACAATCATGGCTCATGGCAGCCTTGACCTTCTGGGCTCAGGTGATCCTTTCACCTCTGCATCCCGAGTAGCTGGGACTATAGGTGCATGCCACCATGCCTGGCTAATTTTTTGATTTTTTTGGGAGACAAGGTCTTGCTATGTTGCCCAGGCTAGTCTTGAACTTCTGGGTTCAAGCAATCCTGGCACGTTGGCCTCCCACAAAGTGCTGGGATGACAGGCGTGAGCCACCACGTCCGGCTTTCCCTTTTTGAATGACCATCTCAGTGGGTGTGAAGTGGTACCTTATTGTGGATCAGGTTCTACATTCTTCACTGACTTCTAGAAATACAGTCCAACTTGTGATGTGTCTCCAGTAGGTGTATGTATTTTTATGTTTGGCCCTAGTGGCTGTTTTCTGACACCTCTACATTTATAGCAGTGGTTCTCAACCATTCTCTTTCCTGTTGGTGCCATCTGACAATGTCCGGAGAAATTTTGGATCGTCACACCTAAAGCAGGGAGAGCTACTGGCATCTAGTGGGTAGAGGCCACGGATGCTGCAAACTACTCTACAACGTGCAGGACAGCCTCCTGCAACAAGGAGTTACTTGGCCCCTTTCCAATGACAATAGCATCAAGGTGGAGACCCCTGGATTACAGCTAGCTTGTCATCTATTTCATGCATCTTCAGAAAGTGCCATAAATCCTTTGGGGAATAAAGCAGACCATACAGCGAATTGCTTCTGAACGAAATGACCTAGACATGGTGATAAGGATGCGGAAGGCATAACTTTTACAAGTTCTAAGGGTAGACTCATATTCCACTGTGATTGAATTTATTGAATGCAATGCTAATTAACTGAATCACCTAAAATACAACTTGAGAGGAAAATGTTGCCACTGGTATTTTCAAAAAATTACTGTGTTCCTGAAGGAAACACATCTAGCCATCTGGTCTTTCACTAAATGAAAAAATACTGAAAATACGTGGGACAACCTGGTGGGTGTGGTCCCTCCACGCACGAAACTTCAGCCTCACCAGTGAAAATCTCGTATGAGGCCAAGCATTCGCTCAGGGCTTCAATGTCCCTCCCCTTTGCAAGTGGAATGAATGGCTTAAGGAAACAGAAGTTCTTAAAAAATGAAAAACTTTAATTGTTTAAAGCAAAGGCACAAGTAAACATTTCAGGGTATCATACAATGTTACAATAAAAAAATTCCACCAGCAGAATGAAATACGTTACAACTTTGCATCTCTGCAGAATGGCAAATGCATTATTCCGTCATCTCTTCTTTGGAGTGAAAAGAAGGGACAGGTTGATGATGTGACGCAAAAACTTGGATTATAAATAGAAGCCACTGCACTTTTAACCAGAGATTTTCATTTCAGTAGAATTAAATTAATTTTAAAAACATACTGTTTTATTAATAAGAGAGCAGCTGTGATTTTCAAGCTAAAACTCATTGCTTTAAGAAGTAAATCATTGATTTCATGAAATGTTAGCTGTCAATGTCTGGCACTAACACGTTCATCAAGCTGGTCATGAAATGGCTTTACCAAAACTTAATTCATATACTTATTTTACTTTAAATCTGAATATTACATTGTATTATATAAAAGATAAATAAGGAACCATAGATTTCTGACGGCATCAGGAATAACATCCTTAAAAAGGCATAGACCTTAATTTCAATCAAAGGCACTATCTGGAGAGTAACAAGCTGCATCATGTTCAGAGCAGAGACATTTTTTGTCTTCCAAAGTAACTGGCCAGTTAGTTACAACTTGATATGATATTGATGTTTCCATTAGTCAGAAAACACCAAGTGTCCATTATCCAGCAAAAAAAAAAAAAAAAAAAAAAGTGTAGAAATTGTGTAAAGTTAACATTTTGGACTTCTTTTTAATTGAGGAAGAACAAATTTACCTTTTTTTTTTTTTTAAAGAGGGGTCTTGCTATATTGCCCAGGCTAAAGTACAGTGGCTGTTCACAGGTAAAATTATTGCACTCAGAGCCCTGAACTCTTGGACTCAAGTGATCCTCTTACCCCAACCTCTTGAGTAGCTAGGACTATAGGCTGCCGAAGTGTTTTCTTGATCTGAAAGGTCTCTGTTTCATTACTTCAATGCAATTTCTACTTTATTCAGATCAATTGCAGTCTCTACTCAGCATTTCAACCCAGGATGGCAATGACACCAGAAAGTGTCCCAAGGGAGCAAGTTTTTCTTTTATGAGTTATTTCACTCACTTTTATTCCCTGAATATTTCTCAACTCTTAAGTGCTTAACTGAATAATGTTTACATTACACAAAACTATCAGGGAACATCATTCAATGCCTCAAAGTCTTGAACTGCATATTTATATTAATCTGAATGAAATGGGGTCAAATCAGGGCATAGTATCCAATCGCATCCTAGAGGCCGGGAGGATTTTAAACTTTTCTATGGTATATTTGAATCAAAGATCTTGAATGAGAAGTGTGTTATTTCTAGTTTCTCACTGTCCAAGGCTATCAATGGATTTCCTCACCATGATTCTTTTCACGCCTAATTCCCAACCAGAAATCATACTTAGAAAATTCTCGAAGAATAACTTTCAAGGTTTAAAATTCAAACATGGCTCTAGAAAAATGTTATTTTAAAGTCAAAGTAGTACATTTACTCAATGAAGCACCCTAAAGGTCAATGATGCATGCTTTAAAGAAGAGTGATTGGTGGGCGTGGTGGCTCACACCTGTAATCCCAGCACTTTGGGAGTTCAGGGTTTGGAGACCAGCCTAGGCAACCTAGCAAGACCTTGTCTCTACAAAAAGAAAAAAAAAATTTTTTTTAAATGTGTGGTGGTGCATTCCTGCAGTCCCAGACACTTGGGAGGCTGAGGCAGGGGGATTGCTTGAGCCCAGGGGGTCGAGGCTACAGTGCAGTGAGCTGTGATTATGCCACTGCACTCCAACTTGGGTGACAGAGGGAGATCCTGATTCAAACAAAACAAAAGAATCAGTGATTGGATTCTGGAATGCTTTCCTTTCTTTCTCCTTTTCCAAAAATAAGATATCTTTCCAAATTTTTCTGTGGAATCAAAGACTTTATCTTATAAAACAGCCAGCACACTTTCCACTTTGAATAGTTCTGAGTATATGACCTACTACAAAATTTTGTTTCCAAATCAGTAGCTTAACAGCAAAAGCATATGGCATGACAGACATCAGCCTGTATGTTAGCGTATCCGGAGGAAGGGTTAGCAAACTCTTCCTGTAAAGGGCCAGACAGTAAGTACTTTAGGCCACATGGGTCAGATGGTCTCCATTGCAACCACTCAACCCTGTCACTGTCAGCAGCCACAGACAATATGTAAACAGATAAGGATAGGTGCACTCCAGTAAAGCTTTCATTATAGACAATGTGAATTTCATATACTTTTCATGTGACACAAAATATTATTCTTCTGAGTTTTTCCCCCAACTATTTAAAAAAGTAACAACAGGCAGCTGACTGAGATTAGTTCATGGGCTTTCATTTCCTGACCCCTGGTCTAGATCATCCAGATTTCTTGATGTGGGGCGGGGATGGGTTGGGGGGGGAGGTGGTCAGAACTATAATGTGACCACAAAGAATGTGGTCATCTCACTTCACCTGGACATGAACAGCCTTCTGGGCTGACAGTAGAGAACCCCAGAAGAGAATCTCCAAAGTACCAGACGATTCTAGGAGTGACATCTATACTCATCAACTGGGGAGTGCTAATACTCACCTATCTATCTATAACTATCTGTATATATATAATCAGGAAACACATATAAATCAACTTTATTTAAATCACATTGTCATAAAAGCAGGAAATGGGAAACTCACTAGTTGAACCTTTGGGAAAGGTTTGGTGTTAGAGAGAACTGAATTAAAACCTTGGAACTGTGACTTCACTAGCTTCTGATCACAGGCAGATCACTCAACACCAAAACTCAGCCTGGTGCTAGGGACAGACACAGAAGGTACGTTTTCCATCTCACTTCTCAGGCAAGCAAATACTACAAAGATTTTGCCGGAAAAGCACAGTCAACAGTGCACCAAAAGGCTTACCTCCTGGTTGTAGACCAAAAAATGACATTTGTCTCTTCTACTCCATTTTGTCATATCAATTTGTTTTCTGCATGTAACATGACTGTGCAAAGTTGTGCCTCCACACATACTGAATTCTACTTTCCTCTCATCCTCCAAGGCTAGTTTTTTTTCATGGACTGCTAACAAAAATGAAACTGGAGACTATCTGGTTAACATGCCCCTGTCATCTTTCTAGAGTATAAGTGTAATTTGGCTGTTTCCTTCAATAAATCCATGACAGACATTCTGATTTCTAGGAAAAAAAGAAGTCTAAATGACAAAAAAGGGAAAACTGGCAAGAAAGGATTCTTATGGCTTTATCTATAGATCAAAATCTAGAGACTCTGAAAATAATGTCCACAGATTATTTGTAGATGTCATTGCTGTGTATCTTGGACCTCAGCCCACTGCTTAAGTTATATTAAGTAGAATAATAGCACTAAGTCATATGTGCTATAACCTCTTTAATCATGAAAAATTTATTAGTTACATACACATGAAGTAAAATATTTTACCAATAGTGTTTCTGAATCTGCTAGTGTTGAATGCTAAGCAAAGTACTAAAGCTCTTAAAATATTAGTGTTTGGTTTTATTTTTCAAATTTCTTTGAACCTATTATTTACAGAAGTCCTGTTAGAATGCTTAAAGAAGCAGTCATGTTGTATCATGTATGTCCCTCATATAAAATGATGTTCAATGTTAGGTGGTCCAGATTTACAAATATGTACAAATATACAATATATGTGCAGTTAACCTACTATTCTGACCAGTATCCAACACATGGAGGCATCATATGCACATACAAATGGACACAAAACTTATAATTCTCCAAACAGATAACCATTAACTTGTGATTATAAAATACAGAAAAAAGGTTTTGTGCCTGGGAACTTTCAGTGGCCCACTAATAAAAGTCATTTTCATGAAAAAACAAAACAAAACTAAAACAACCTCCCAAATACCAAAAAACAAGGTAAAATGGATGTATGTCTTGGTCAAATGCCTGTAGACAGTCGCTTGGATAACAAATTGATAAACATAAAAATACAATTTGTTCACCAAGTATAAAATATTGCACGAGAGCAGCTTTGTTGGAAGAAAATTCAATTTTCCATAGTTTTAAACTTCAAAATGGTTCCCACACATATAGGTGCATTTTCTAAATAAGGAACATTAATATTTAATAATACTGTTAGAACTTTATTTAACCCATTAACCATATTCCAGACTACTTTATGGCAATGGTGAGTCAAACGTGAAAATTTGGCAAAGATAAAAAGGCAGATAAGACTGTAAAATATATATATATATATATATATATATATCTCTATGTACATATGAAACAGATATGTTCCAAAAATCCCTAATCACACAATAACTGATCCCTTGAAGAAACACACAGTCTAGGTCACAGGGACTGTCAGACAGTGGTCGAGTACGCCTCTCTTCTTCTCAGGGGCCGCTCCTTCGCAATGGCTTGCTCACTCCCCCTCTCCAGCGCACTGTCCTCCGATTCGCTCTCGCTACCATCTGCCACAGTGGGGTCCAAAGACATCGGGCCAGATTTTCTATGCAAAGGAAAAGCACTTTCCTGTAAGGGATTATCTATGAAATCTTCGTCAGAGGAGTGGAATGATTCGTCGTCTCCTATTAAATGGTTGACGATGTGGATTCCGTCAAAAGGAGGTTGGCCTGAGAAGCCCCTCTGGCCTTTTAGGCACCTGAGCTGTTAAAACAAAATGCAAGTTAATATCCTCCAATGGGGAAAGCACACAGACACCCAGAAAGTAAATGTTTCAGATGTAAGGAAGAAGATACCCTGATCCTTTTCTGCCTGTAGATCTAACAATAGTTACCAATTTTTTGAGTGCCTCTTATGTTACTTATTTTAGTTGACTCATCACAACAGTCCTATGTTGTAGATTTTATTTTCCTCGTACAGATTAGGAGACTGAGATTCAGATAGGGTAACATGCTAAGGACACATAGCTAACAGCAGAGTTTAGATTCAAACTGGATCTTCATTATACAAGAGATGCTATGATGAATGCCACGTACCCATCACATAATTTCAACAAACTAACGCCTGTCATGGACAGTCGTGTTACAGGATATCCCTCTCATCCCTGGTCAATTTTGAGGTAAACCCCAGACACCCTATCAGTCCACCTGTAAATATTTCACCTTTAGTTGTAGAAGATATAATCTTTTTTTTTTTTTGAGTTGGAGTCTCACTCTGTCGCCCAGGCTGCAGTGCAATGGCATGCTGCTCATGGCCACCACAGCCTCAACATGCTGGGCTCAGGTGATCCTTTTGCCTCAGCCTTCCAAGTAGCTGGAACTACAGGCACGCACCACCATACCTGGCTAATTTTTTGATTTTTACTGTAGAGATGAGGTCTCACCATGCTGCCCAGGCTGGTCTCGAACCCATGGGCTCAGGCAATCCTCTCATCTCGGCCTCCCAAAGTGCTGGGATTATACGCACGAGCCACTGCGCCCGGCCTACAAGATGTAATCTTAAAGACTCAACTCTTAACTATCACATTATCTCAAGAACATAGTCCAAAATTTTGTAATGATGGAAATGACTTATATTAAAGTGAGTTCAGAGTCTCTTTCCTGTTCTAACACCCTTAAGATCACTGTGTCACTACCCACAGCTGGGGCAGGAGTGCTGCTCCCCCCTCGGAGGGTTCCTTCTGCATGGGGGGAGCCTGTCACATATGACACTTCTGTCTCTCCACACTCGCCTTCCACCTCTGGGAGGCAGGCTCTGTGCCCCCACCCCTGGCGTTTTATGTGGGGAGGGCTGAGGAGGTCAAATGCTACCTGTCACTGGGTGGGCAAGCCTGGCTAATTCTAGAGTTCAGTATTGAAAACTGTTGTCACATCATTTTTCATCAGGATATCATTGTCCAAAACCATTTTATTTCTTTTCACGATCCGCCACATCTTTGCCCAAGTTCTCTCAAACCTGACACCATGGATATTATTGCTTCCACTAACACGTAGCTCCTTATCCTCAAGAGTTTATGTTTTAAACATAAAGTTTAACTTTGATATTCTATCACTTATTTAATTTCTCCCATACACCATGAATGTTCTCTGACAATAAAGCAGAGAGGGAGGAAAAGAAGAGAAAGGAAAGAGAGAGGGAGGGAAAAAAGCCCCAAACACCAATAAGAAGTTACCAAATATCTACCTTGGCTATGAAGAATTTTGCTGAAACACACTCCATGTTTCCTACCCTCATCCTTGTTTCTCAGGGACAAACTCCTTGTTACTATCTTTCAAATCTTGAGATAAAGGCAATGTGAAATATTCAGGAAATATTACATACGCTTTCAAAACTAACGGTTTTGAGAATAAGGACATGACGGTCTTGCCATCACACCTCCCAGCTTTCCTGACAGACTTCCAGGAAGACATGAAGAAACCTCAGTGCCTCCCTGCTTGTACGTGACAATGGAAAACATGGCAGACGCTGGGACTCGGCACAGTGATGTGTGGCCCCAGCAGACCTTCAACTAAAAAGAAATGCCTGTGTCCTAGCCCCATGGGACAAAACCGTAGTGAGGTACAATGCAATTTAAGTAATACCTTTTCCTTGGCAGGACTGAAGGGATCTAAGTGTGGAGCTGAATCTTGAAGAGGCACAGGGCACCTCAAAGCCCTCCTTGAGGCTGTGACACCCACGGCATGATCACAACTGCCACGCTCTGATGCAACATCCCATCACTGTATTGCAACACATGATTTATAGCTCCACGTGTGAAATTAAGTCAGTTAATCTCTTCCTTTCTCTTTTTTCCCCCAGGCCCTTTTGAAGAAATGATAACGGAACACGCGTCTTCCTTCTTCCTGGCTGTTACAGAGGAGAAGGATGGTAGGAAAACCATAACTCCCCAAATGTTGGAAAGCCGTGGCCTCCTTGGCTCTAACAACAATCACTGCCATTAAAACACTGCAGCCTTGTATCAGATGCAATCATGGAAAATTAACTATAGGCTGAGAGATCGTTTCCTCAACATCAAAAGAATCTCTTTGAGAACTGTGAATAGAGAACAGCAAAGGCAGAAGAATTTCTGGGTGGAGAGAAAATAGGTGAAGGTAAGGGACTCTCTGGTAAAATGGAGCAACCCCTTGGCCGTCTGTCCCTTGGGCTTAGGAGTGTGCATGCTGGTTCTGATGAGCCCGAGGCCTGCATGGGCATCTGGGCAAGGAATTCCAGGGGACTGAGTACCCGGAGTGTGGTCTAGAAAGGGTTGCATGGGCTGCAGGAAGACATGGCTTCTGGGAGCCCTCTCTCTGTGGAGAGGGGTCTGGCTGGAAGGTCACAGCTGGGCCCTCCACCGTGCAGTCCTGGTTGCCTGGATCTAAATGCTTGTCTTTATTACTGGGCTTTCAGGAGCTAATTATATTTAAACAACAACACAAAGCAGACAATCAACCTTTCCAATGCCCTCTTCGCTCCAAAAAAATCCCTTCATGGATATTGTCAGCAGCAAACTCAGATTAGCATATTTCAAAATATGACCCATGGATCATCTTGATAAGGAGAACTGAGGATACCTGCTACAAATGGAGAATTTCTCAAGATTCAAAATCCTGAGAGTGAAACACCAGAATAGACATTTTTTTTCATGGCCACTACCATGCCCGGCTAATTGTTTGATTTACTGTAGAGATAAGGTATCGCCAAGTTGCCCAGTTTGGTCTTGAACCCATGGGCTAAGGTAATCCTCCTACCTCAGCTTCCCAAAGTGCTGGGATCATAGGTGTGAGCCACCACATCCAGTCCCAGAACAGGCATTTTTTTTACATGCATCTCAGGAGATTCAGATATACAGTTGGCCCTCTGTCTGTGGGTTCTACATCAATTGCAGACAGAAAGTCATCAAGGAAAAAAAGGGATGGTTTACCTGTTTTTCTCTAAACAATATAGTATAACAAATATTTATACTGTATTAGATGTTATAGGTAGTCTAGAGATAATTTAACGTATACAGGAGGATGTCCATAGGTCATAAATATTACACAATTTTATATACAGAACTTGAGCACCTACGGATTTTGTATTCACAGGGGTCCTGGGACCAATCCCCCTTGGATACCAAGGGCCGACTGCACACTGAAGTCCAAGAATTACTGTGGTAGATGCTCTGTTTAAACCAGATGGGGCTGAGCCAGAGAGAAGTTGATTTAGCTGAAATGAAACTCTTAAATATTTAGGACAAAAGTGTCTCTGCACCATGGACACCTGCCTCGAGTGTGACTGGTATACGAAACTAAATCCATCTTTCAGAAGTACAACCAAGCTGCTCTGTGCCAACTCTGCCACTTGGTGGTTGACACAAGGAACACTCTGTTTAAACCGTCTTTTGGAACTTTCTCCTGGCATAGAGGTCAGGTCTAAAGATGTATATATTCAAAAAAGCTGAATACTTTTGATGCACATCCCAGGATAAGAACCACTACTCTAGGAAATGGTTTGTTTTGCTTTTTGTTTTTGTTTGAAATCTCTTTGGGTCAATTGGGATCAGGACTCTGATAAGAATTACTGACTCTATCTTTGTCTTGAAAAGTATACACACATAATTTAACATAAACTTTTGAGGCCCATTGTCGTTCCTAATTTCCTAATATACTGCAGGAATATCTTCAGACACTGAGATTAATTGTGACATGCCAGTGGTACCAAAAAAAAGTATTATGTTTCCAGAGGAAATTAAAAAGTCACTGAGTATCACTGAAAGTACTTTTGTAATTGACCAAGGAAATAGAATCCCCCGAAAAAGAGTCTCAGCTAGATCACCCTACTAATTTTCTAGTCTTAAAGTTTGAGCAGAATCAAATATCAGAGATTTGAGGACAGCATATAAGAGAAGCCAGGAAAAAAGGTGATTAGGAGGGAAGAGACCATCTAGGAAAAAGAACACTTTTTTTTTTTTGAGTTGGAGTCTCACTCCTTTGCCCAGGCTGGGGTACAGCGGCCACCCCTGCATCAACCTTCTGGTCTCCAGTGATCCTTCTGCCTCAGTCCTCCAAGTAGCGGGAACTACAGACGTGCGCTACCATGCCCGGTTATTTTTAATTTTATTGTAGAGATGAGGTATCTCCAAGTTGCCTGGGTTGGTCTTGAATTCGTGGGCTCAGGCAATCCACTCGCCTTGGCCTCCCAAAAGTGCTGAGATTATAGGCTGAGCCACTGAGCCCAGTCTTTTTTTTTTTTTTTGAGTCAGAGTCTTTCTCTCTCTGTTGCCCAGGCTAGAATGTAGTGGCACAATCATGGCTTACCATAGGTTCGACATCCTGGGTTCACACAATCCTTCTGCCTCAGTCTCCCAAGTAGCTGGGATTACAGATGTGCATCACCATGCCTGGCTAATTTTTGTATTTTTTGTAGAGACATGGTCTCACTATGTTGCCCAGGCTGGTCTTGAACTCCTGGGCTCAGGCAATCTTTCCATCTCAGCCTCCCAAAGTGCTGGAATTATAGGCATGAATCACCATGCCTGGTCAAAGACGAAAACTTTCCCCTCTACATACACTGCAACTACATAAAAAGAACAGGATGTCAAAAAAAAAAGTCTTAGACATCAATTTCTCTTACTTGAAAGTCATGAGCTTTGAAACTGAAAAGGCCTATCAAATGTCCAGAACAACAGACAAAAATAGACCTATACCATCATACATCACAGTGAAATTTAGGACTCTTGAGAA